TCCTCTGCAGAGGCTTGCTCTCATTCTCCATGTGCCACTTTTGAAGGTTCGTTCTCTGTTGGACTTTGTTCTACTGATTCCTTTTCTGATGACGAACCGTCAACTTTCGTTGACGTGGCAGTATCAACACTAGTTGTACTAGAAGTACTAGAAGTACTTGAAGAGCCGGTAGAAGTAGCATTGGCCGCGACATTTCTCTGAATGTTTTCTCTTGTGAAAGACACGTCTTCATCGGCCACTGTCTTTTCTTTCACAATGTCTCGTATCAGCTCCTTTTGCAGGGAAGATACGCTGAAGAGGGGAGAACTCCGTCCAAACAAGAGTAACGCAATGCCAATCGCAACGGCTGGGGCAGTCCAACTTTTCGATTTGATTGGCGGTGTCATTTTCAACCCGGATGATGAAACCTTTGGCTTTGCCGTCACTGACAAAGAATCCAATGCAGATGACAAGGACGTCTTCCTGTCAGTGTACTGCTCGAAACTGTCACTGAGCTGCTGCTCTAAACTGTCACTCGACATCATCATGGTCGAGATTGGAGCTTCGAGCGGAAAAGATGTTAGAAATGGGATGGGAAGAAAATAAATAAAGAATCTACATTTACTTTCATACTGTACTACACTCCAACCTCATCAATAAGATAATTAGGCCAGGAAGGTTCGGTCTGAGGCAAACCTGGATCTTTTGACGCACCGTTGGCCATCAAAAGATCACTAGTGACGAGTGAGGCTTGGTCTTAATAACAGAGTTTTTCGCACCTTCGCCGCTTCGCCATTACTTCATCTTTAGAAGACATGAAGTGCTTTACTCTTCAGTGCATCACACCCAGTGCTTTACTCGACTGCATCACAGCCAGTCCTTTACTCGATGCTACTGATGCTGTTATTGGTGGTATATTTAAAAAAAAAGCTTTGAAGTGGTGTTACTACTAGTAATCCCTGTCTCAAATCAACCAATCTAGAAGCATAGCAGGGATCAGAGAAGGCTGCTGGTACAGGATGAGTAACCGAGGACTGGTGACGGAAACTGCGTTTTGTAGGCGCGGGGACTGTGTCAGGATCGGTGAAAACGAAGTCAAAGTGATTGGAACTGAGACCATAGTCTATGCCAACAAGAAGCCGCTATGGCTGATGAAAAGGGAGGGATGCATGGACGACAACAATAAGCTCAGATAAGGGCTACATACGCAGAGATACAGGAATTGCCTGATGGAATTGATCATGCGGTGAAGAATCGGCTGAAGCTATTGTCCCAGCCTGAAGCTATGGTCCCAGCCTGAAGCTGTGGTCCCAGCCTGAAGTGGTTATCCCAGCCTGGAGCCATTGTCCCAGCCTGAAGCTGTTGTCCCAGCCTGTAGTGGTTGTCCCAGCCTGTAGTGGTTGTCCCAGCCTGGAGCTATAGCTGTTGTTCCAGCTTATAGCTGTTGTCGCAGCCTGTAGTGGTTGTCCCAGCCTGAAGCGGTTATCCCAGCCTGTAGCTGTAGCTGTTGTCTAAGCCTGTAGCTGTAGCTTGTAGCTGTTGTCCCAGCCTGAAGCGGTTGTCCAAGCTCTCAGCTTGGAGTGGTTGATTGGTTGATTGGTTTGTTCTACCACATCCTCTACAACTGAACATGAACAACCGGCTTGCCAAATAATCGTAGATTCCACCGTAATCCTCTGGAGGGCATTCCTAGGAATTCATTGAAGTTTTGTAAAATGTCTTACTAGCTTTTTATGGATCTGGTGTTAAATCATCTAGCCCTCTTGGTTCACTTCAAACCATAACCAGAAGTGATGGTTTAAAGTACGTGAAAGGATTTCCTTTGAACCAATCCTTACTAATTACTAGTGCATGCTTTAACACACCAAAAGCACTTCAAGAATGCCTCTTAATTGCAGAATCAGCTTTTGTACTCTTTGCCCCTATTCAAAAGAGCCAAAGTAAATTGCACGAGCCACCCCCAGACCCCCTTCTATGTTTAAATCGTGAGGTGACCTCACGAACTGGCGAAGCTCGCTCTGGCTGACCTCATCCCTAAGAAGGTTCCCTTCAAACTGTAACGCACACATTATCTGGATACGTTGCCAACGTGCCAACTCAGTTCAAAGGAACGAAGGCAACGCTTCAAACGAAGCAACAACAGTCAGCAGTGAAGCTCTTAGGGTGAAGCTCTTAGACTTCAGCTCTGTTTTGGTTGCTATCACTTACCCTGTTGACCGAAGAAGAAACTAGCTACGCGCTAGCATAGATTGCCATACCAACCGAATCGGCAGCACCCATCTAACGTAGTTTGAAGACAAGCTGAATCGAATCAAGAAGAAGAATCCTTTTCCACAATGGGATCATCGCAAAGCCATCCATCTTGGCAACAGTCTCGGTATATCACTCGCATGGAAGCCTCTCCACAAACCAGTGCTCTTCAGCCTACTAGTAGTGCAGCAACTCCAGATGCAGCCCTGACGAAGGGTGATGAGCCTCCTCCACAATTATATCGTGTCGAGTCGTTTTCGGACAAGTTCATTCGAAAAGTGAGTGCGGTTCCGTTCCGTTGAGTACATGTATGGTTGCCATGGGCTTTTGTTTCCATGCAAAGAAGAGCTCTTGTTCTCTGCCTTTACAGGGCTCTATTGTTATGTATGAAATGCCCTCGACTCGCAAATCGTCACGTGCTTCTGCTCTTCTTGTTGTCAATCAGTTTTCATCGCAACCATTGGTGCCCATTGGTTGTGTTGCCACGGCCTATTTCCTAGCCAGTGGGATCAAATCCTTTCGAGATAGAGATCCCATTCGATCTCAAAAAATGATGAGAGCTCGAGTGGGAGCGCAATTTGTGACCATTATGATATTCATTGGGTACCGTGGGATACGAACAGTTGGATTTCAGATTGGCACCGGCGTATCAAGACAAGAAAAAAAGAGAACAACAAAGCCAACAGCAACAATCCGATTGAAAAGATGATGTGACAATAGTATTGAGAGGCTGGCTCTTGCTAGTAGATGAAAATTATGGCAGTGTGGATTGGTGGAATGATTGAATCGAAGCGACAATCTACGTACTGTACGG